GTGCGTCCAGAATTCTCTGCTGGTGCTGCATTGACATCTGCCTGGTGGTCAAGAAGAAGCTGAACCATCGTAGTATGACCACCCTTTGCTGCCGCCTGGATTGCTGTCAGTCCATCTGAGCCTCGCGTGTTCATGTCTTCCTTTCTATCACAAAATAACTTCATCACATCTCGACAGTTCCTCCTAGCTGCCCAGTTTCGCTTGTCGTTATACCATTTTGCTGTAGCATTTGGCCGCATCTCAATCAACAGCATGGCTTCTTTTTCATAGATGACATTTCCCCCGCTGTCAGTATTATCCTTAAGTGCCTCGAACAGAATATCTGCTGTCTTTATTTGCTCCTGTTCCAAAATGCACAACAAAACTTGTCTTTCATTTCTGTCCACACTCTCAGCCTTTGCACCTGCATCGATCAGTACGCGCGTCATTTCCTCCGATCCTCTCATAGCTGCTTGAAACAAAGCTGTCTGTCCTGACCCGTCCATTATGTTCGGGTCCGCTTTTGCTTCTAATAGAGCACGGACAGCATTTTTCTTCTCGAGCTTTGCACTCCAATGCAGTGCTGTTCTTCCCATGTTATCACGTTCGTCTATATTTTCTCTTTTTGCCAATATTTTCAGGCTCGTTATATCACCACTTTCCGCTGCGCAGTGCAATGCCAACCTTCCATACATGTCTTTGGCTGAAGTAAGATTTTCTCCCAGGTGATCGGTCAGGTCTTCAACAACAAGTCCGTGTCCCCTTGAAGCTGCCCAATGTAGACTGGACATACCGCAATTATCTTTCATTGCAAACTCATATCCTTTGTTAATCATGTCTTTGGCCTTTGATCTATCGCCTCGAACAATCGCTTGTATGAGCTCCATACCGTCTTTGAGATTTGTTTTCGACTTCTTATCCATTGTATCGAAACACTTTTGTGTTATTTAGCTGGTGTCAAAGAACAGGGTAAGAAGTCTAGACTTTGCAGTGTTGACAAGGAGAATGGATTCAGGATCTAATGAGATTCTATATTCCTGCGGCATCAGAAAACTTTGAGTTTTATTATGTCTACCAATAGAAGAGAAAATGCTGTTGTCAACCCTCTAAGAACCCATCAGCTGGGATTCGACAAGTCACTTTCTTGTAACCGATCTTCCAGTTCAGCAACTCACTTGATTCGCTCTGTGATATTAAAGCGGGGCCTGTGGTGCTTCTCTTATTGGTTCTTATACTAGGCCTATGTGAACTAGAATGTGATAGCATCTGCATGATGTGTTGTTTCATGCACTTGGGCTGCATGAGTTCAGCTAGTTGGAAAATGTGTACAAGTGGATAACTCGTCTTTCCTCACAACCCAGGTACCTTAGGCGGCTTTCCCCCTTGTTCTCCGCTATGCCACGTATGATTCTCAGAAAGAGAGAGAAGCAAATAGAATTTCTCCATATCAACAATCGGATAAAAATGCTGAGTTATTGCTACTTTGAATATATCATGTGACTAGAATTTCAAAAGCAATTTATATGTTAATGACTCAAATGGCCTGCCCGTGAAAAATTACGATCTTACATGTAAGACAAGAAGTCTGGACTTTATTTCTTATCTTTATAAACCCCAAAATGAATAACTAAGATTATCTAAATCCGATTTTATCCTCCAACCATGAGTATCATTACATCAAGCACTGCTATTATCTCTACGAGTGATCCTAAAGTTGGATGGCAGGATGGTTCAGATCGACGGGGCACCTGGGAAATTATTACAACATGTGCGACAACCATCTTTGCTTGCACCTGGAGTATTCAGCATCTGAATGTTCCATCACCAAAAGATGGCTCAATTAAAGACTGTGCCGCAAATGCAAATGGATGCTAATTACAATCTTGTTTCCTGAGTTTATTTTAGCGCATGCGCTATTTGAACTTGTGATGGCTGTGCAGTCAACAGTCGACATTCAGAATAATGGACAGATCAAAACTGCTAGATACAACTGGATAATCAAGCTGTATCTTGTTATTGTGGGTGACCGAAGCTTTAATAAAGCCCTAAACACATCCAACGATTCCGAACAATGCAATACCTCAGAAAAGATCAAGTGGACAATTACCCATTCGTATTTCGCGAATATGGGGGGGATCTACAATAACCGCAAGGTTGCTGTAACTGCAGCCCATATCTCTCAGATCCCTGAAGTCTACAATCGATTGAACCTGACAGAAGATATGGTTAAGGATAAAGGAAAACGCGACTATTTTGCAAAAGGGCTTGCAGTTTTACAGATTTCACAGCTTGTTCTTTCTCTTATAGTTCGAGCATATCGGAATCTGCCGTTTTCACAGCTGGAAACGCTTACCCTGGCTTTCTCTGTTTGTGGCGTTGCAACCTATGTGGCCTACTGGTATAAGCCACAGGATGTGGGATTGCCTATCTCGATCAAAGAGATGAATGGCCTCGAATCACGTCGTTTCGACAAGTCCTACGACAACTTTTGGAATATCCTTACCAACTCCGAACGTTCTTCCACGAATGAAGATTATGATCGTATTGAAAATGACAATATCCCAAAGGGCACATCTCAAATCACCCATGGAAGCATTCCAGTCCTTGCCATGCTTTCGGCTGCTTTCGGCAGCTTACACCTGATAGCATGGAATTTTGAGTTTCCAACAAATATTGAACAACTACTGTGGAGGATAACAACTATTGCATCAGTTGCAGTACCTGTGATGGGTCTAATCACTATTCCATTGGCCCAGATTACTATTCCTGCAGGTGACCCAAGAGAATTCATGCGGGACTGCCTGCGACTCCTGCGCGAGCTATCCTGGGATCAACCAGATAGACAAGATATTCGGCAAGCGAGAGCAGATCTAGAGAAGATCTATATTGAACCAGATTTTGAAACTGATGCTGCTCGAATGAGGTATGCTGATTTGTTTCGAAGCAATGATCCGGACTCACCCTTGGAGGTACAAATGGTTGACTTCCTAAAACGCTTTGTGAAAACAAAGACAAAATCTGAGAGGTTCTTCGAATCAAAAGATTTCGAAATCAAATTACAAAGACTGGTGGATGGGAATAAAGGATTAGGACCGAGAAATATCGTCAACAATACTAAGACGAATGTTTTTCCACGCAAAAGTCTTCTTCCAAAAAGAGTCAGCTTGACAATCCTCTATATTACCAGTGTGACTTATTGTCTGTCACGACTGACTATTATCGCGCTCGCACTGTCCAGCCTCCGATCAATGCCAGATAAAGTATACCTGACAACATGGACAAAGAATATTCCGGCTGTCCAATGAAAGTCCATGAAAGTCGGTGGCACAGGCTAAAGAATATTTCAAGACTTTTCACCACACGCTCTTAGAAATGAGTCTTGCTGTCACGGTGCAAACCCAGAGCACCTACCCGATCCGCTCAACCTAACCGACCCGTTTGACCTGTTTGACCTCTTCCACCCCTTGACCGCCCTGCACGTGACCCGCGACCTCCTTAACCTCCTGCCTGCTCCCGATCCTGTTGTAGCTCTCCGTCTTGTCTATGAACCTGAAGATAGCCTGACTAAGTAGCTAGAAGATAGAATACAGAAGACTTATATTAAGAAGCCTCCAGCTAGAACAGCTAGTCCTACCACCTTGTCCGCGACCAAGGCAGCCAGCCAGCCTGCTCCTTGACACTTACACCGCATTTCATTCCTCCATTTCAGAGTGACTCTTTGGATTCCCTTGGCTGGCAGTCTCTATATCAGCTGCAAAGCGTAGAGGGAATAAAATTCGTCGCGGCAACAAATTATATGGACAATTCACCAGCCTGGTCTTCTTCGCGTATGATCTGCTTCTGTTGACGACGCTTTTAAGCTCGATAGCTTCTTCTTCCTGGAATCAAAATAGGAAATATTGTATAGATATGTATTAACAAGCTGTCTTCTGCTATTTTTGATTTTCTAATCTCTTCTAAAAAGATGGTCCGAGGTGAAATAATATTTATGCCAAGGCCTCACTCCACCGCCTTGTTTACTATTAGAGTCAATCAGCTTCAAACCCCAAATTATGCTTATTCATTGATTGTAACCTTTTATATAGCTTGTTATGAGCTGTCTATATTATTCCAATGATTAATCTTTACTGTATTTGAAAAACAGTGTAAACTAGGACTTATGTGATAGGATTTACTTGTCAGGGTAGGAAGCCTGTCGACTAGGTAAGGAATCAACCACTAAACACCCTGGATTCGTCTCAGCAATGACAAAGGTAGCCTATATCCACAGAATAGACTGATCCTTGAGGGATCAGTAGCCTAGTAGCAAGCGCCGGAAGGATACAGATCCGCTGTCGATGACCTCACGACTCCCATAACTGCTTATAATACGTCATCCCGGGGATCCCGACCATGATATTCTAGTTATTCTATCACACTTCTTGACTGTAAAACTTACTAGAACTCAATCTATCTTATAATTTACTAAGTACTTAATCTCTGTTAATGACCCTATCACCCCCGAATCACCCTGATATCTGAGATCCGCGAGACGCACTATTCCTTCGATTCTTCAATAGTCACGCCAGCATGTCTAAACTGGCCCTGCGTATTGAGTTTTCGTGCACCTACGATGTCCACGCACCACTCGAGGAAGGATCGAATCCCTGAACCGGGTCCTGTGCTTACCAATTGCGTTCGATGAAAGGTTTCAACTCGCCAAAGAATTCCTCAGTAGGATTCAGATCTGGGGAATACGGAGGCAAGTAGATCGGCTTAACGCCAGCAGCAGAGCACATGGCATCGAGTCGATCGGTGTGGTGAAACGATGCGTTGTCCATAATGATGACAGACTTGGGCTTGGGCCACCGACCACAATGCTCGAGAAGTTGTTTAATGAAGTCTTCGAAGAGAGCGGCATCAGTAGATCTCCGGAAGATGCGAGACAAGACAATCCCGTCTTGAGCATACGCTGGAAGAATCTGATACCGCTGGTCTCATTGGAATTGCGACACCTGGACCGGTGTAACGCCAAGAGGAGACCAGCCGGTCCGCCGAAATCCTGCTCGTTTGTCGCATCCTGATTCATCAACGTAGACAAGGTGATAGGATTGAAATTCAGAGAGATTATAGAGGTAGAAATCCCGTTGATCAGCATTGCGCTGCCTGGCGATCTGGCGGGATGTTTTCTTGGACCAATTGACGGACTTCAGCGCGCGACCGATACTATGGACCGTAACCAGAACGCGAAACTTATCCCATAAGAACAGAACCATCTCATCTTGGTATATATCTAGCTTTTCATGGAGATGGTCGCAAAGAGCATTGAGCATTGACGGGGTGATACTTCGGCGCCGGCCGACCCCATTGGAAGGAGCTCTTACATCCCCAAAGCACTCCAGGTTCGTGCAAATGGTTCTTACTGAACGGGAGCTACAGTCAGCTATCTTCGCGATTTGAGAGGCTCTCAGTGGTGGGTCGGTCATTAGTGCGTCACGTGAGTTCAAGTTGTGAGATTACGAGTCTGGATGCCATGTTTCCAAATCACCTTCAACGTGGCACTGCTTGAACGGCTGTCTGAGGGAGGCGGGTTTGTGAGATGCTGTACGGAATCTCACCGGGCGCAGAGAGGGGCCTCACCAGCTGAAATTCACGAAATGCGTGACGCTAAGCCTGCCACGGATGGACGAATCAACTGCCGCCGATGAAGGAATGACCTTGTGACTATCGGTTGGTCCCATGCAGTGTGATATGACTGCAGGGAGGGGTGTTGTGCTACGCAGGCGTTTGATATAACCCACAGCCACTGGACTGGTGAGAATTTACCCATGGTTGGTTTTCTATCGTTCGTCTTATCCTCCGAGCAGATTAACCCATCTGAGATAAAGTCTCCAGCATGCAACAAGTAGCACCTATGTGCGGCGGAGAGCCGAATCCGGTGCACAGTACCGGCCTGTGCCTGCTGTCCCTTGACGGCGGCGGCGTGCGCGGGCTGTCAACTCTCTACATCCTCAAAGGCTTGATGGATCGCCTGAACCTGAAACGGGCCGACGGCTCTCCACCGAAAAAGCCATGCGAGGTCTTTGACCTGATCGGAGGCACCAGCACAGGCGGGTGAGATTCGTGAGTACTAGAGAAAAGTAGTCGCAACACTGACAGAGATAGACTGATTGCAATCATGCTGGGTCGACTGGAGATGGATGTCGACGAGTGCATTGCGGCATACATCCAACTGATGAAAAAGATCTTTCAGAAGCCGGCCAGATGGAACCTCGCTGCAAGCATTTTCGGCAACATCGAGCCCCGATTCGATGCCAGCAAGCTTGAGGAAGCAATCAATCAGGTTGTCAGCAGCCATGGGGCAAACCCAACCGATCTTTTCAATAATCAGACGGGGCGTGGCTGTCGGGTGTAAGTCTATACCTGATAATTTATAACTCTACTGACATGTTCAGATTCGTCTGCAGCATTAGCCAGGAAACCAAGGACATTGTCCGTCTTCGTAGCTATCCGATTCCTGGCAAACAGGAGATTTCTGCCACAATCTGCGAGGCTGCCCGTGCCACCTCTGCTGCCACAACCTTCTTCGATCCAGTCTCGATCGGAGCTCGGAGATTCGCGGACGGTGCTCTCGGAGCGAATAATCCAGTCAATGAGGTGGAAGGTGAAGCGATGAATATTTGGTGTTCAGAGAATGCTGAGCTTAAGCCAATGGTGAAATGTTTCATCTCAATTGGGACTGGAAACCCCGGGAAGAAAGCTTTGGACGATAATCTGCTTAAGTTCTTATCCAAATCCCTGCCAGAACTGACTACTCAGACCGAGCGTACTGAGAAAGAATTCATCTCAAGATGGCGACAGCATTATGACAGCAAGCGGTACTTTCGGTTCAACGTCGAACAAGGATTACAGAACGTGGGACTGGCAGAGTACCAGGACCAAGGTCTGATTGAAGCAGCAACGCAGGAATACCTTGACCATCAGACGGTAGACTTTCGGGTGCGGGATTGTATTCAGAATCTGGAGTCAAAGCAGAGTGTGTACTTAGAGGACTTCTCATAGCCTATTATTTTTTTGCTGATTATATCTTGCAAATATAGATGCAACCCATCTTGCTTTTGCCGTAGAGATGCAAGTTAGTGCTCAATTACCTGAGTAATAATATTGACTAACTCGAGTAGAAGTATCAAGTACAAGAAGTTCTTTGGATGCAATGTATATCGTGACCTTTGCTCTTTTCCTCGACGCCTACAGCTAATTGGTGTTTAGGGCGTGACCGTGCCCGCTGGCAGGTGCCATTTGAGCGCAACCCGCATTTTACTGGCCGCAGGGAACTGCTTCACAGCCTGAAACAGAGGCTGGAAGAAAATTCCGACGCAATAAAACGAATCGCGATTATCGGTCTCGGCGGGATTGGCAAGACACAGCTTGTGCTAGAGCTAGCTCATCAGGTCCGAAAACGGTATGCAGTATTTTGGATTCCGGTCAATAGTCTAGCCAACTTGCAGACAGTATTTCAGCAAGTTGCGGAGAAGCTACATCTTCCAGGCTGTACAGACAAAGGCGCCAACACCATAGAATTGGTCCAAGCATTTCTCAGCGATGAGAGCATTGGTCAATGGTTGCTGGTAGTGGACAATGCAGACGATATAGATCTGTGGACATCCCCCCTCACCGCTGAAGCAGGCGGTAAGCGATTGCTGGATTACATGCCCCAAAGCAGGCATGGGGCTATTATTTGGACGACGCGTGATCGCAAGGTGGCCACAACAGTTGCTCGAGAGAATATAGTAACGGTACCGGAGATGGATGAGTCGGGGGCCTCGGAGATCATGCGAAAATATCTAAGGGTTTCTCCTTTGACTAAAGATGAAACTTCTTTGCCGACTCTGCTGCAGAAGCTGACCTATCTTCCACTGGCAATTGTTCAAGCCGCGGCATACATCACCGAGATGAATATATCCTTTACAGAGTATGAGGGACTGTTATCAGACCAGGATGAATATGTGATTGAGCTCCTGAGTGAAGAATTCGAAGATGGCGGTAGATATAACAATATTGAGAATGCAGTGGCAAAGACATGGCTTATCTCCTTTGAACAGATCCGTCGGCGCAGTTCTCTTGCCTTTGAATATCTGGCCTTCATGGCTTGTGTGGACCCGAAGAATATCCCTCAATCACTTTTGCCAGATTCTGAGGGATTATCGCGGAAGAAGAAGACTGACGCGATCGGGATCCTGCACGCATTTTCGTTTATCGCAAAACGTACAGATGGATTAGCATTTGACATGCATCGTCTGGTTCATCTGGCCACGCGAGGGTGGCTTAGAAGAGGCAAACAACTGCCTGATTGGGACCGAAACGCAGTACTACGACTCAGTCACTTGTTGTCAGATGCCAGTGAAACTAATCGAACAGTTTGGCGGATATACATACCGCATGCAAAATACGCTGCGACCAGAGAAGACAACAGCCATAAGGATGTTATCAACCTTGCAGAGAACTGTGGGCTCTGCTTGTATTACGATGGACGATACTTTGAAGCAGAGGAACTGTATCAAAAGGTTCTTTCTCATCGGGAGAGAATGCTGGGCCACGAGCATCCAGACACACACACCAGCGTCAACAACCTTGGTTGGGTCCTTTTCAACCAGGGCAGATATGAAGAGGCAGAAGTCATGCACCGACGAGCATTACAAGACCGAGAGAAGATGCTGGGGCCCGAGCATCCACACACACTCATCAGCGTCAGCCAACTTGGTTCAGTTCTTTCCAACCAGGGCAAATATGAAGAGGCAGAAGTCATGCACCGACGAGCATTACAAGGCCGAGAGAAGGTGCTGGGGCCCGAGCATCCACACACACTCATCAGTGTCAGCCACCTTGGTTCAGTTCTTTCCAACCAGGGCAGATACGAAGAGGCAGAGGCCATGCACCGACGGGATCTGGAGGGATCAGAGAAGCTGCTGGGGCTCGAGCACCCAGACACACTCGCCAGCATTAATAATCTTGGTTCAGTCCTTTTCTGCCAGGGCAGGTATGAAGAGGCAGAAGCCATGCACCGACGAGCATTACAAGGCCGAGAGAAGGTACTGGGGCCCGAGCATCCACACACACTCACCAGCGTCAGCCAACTTGGTTCAGTCTTTTCCAACCAGGGCAGATATGAAGAGGCAGAAGCCATGCACCGACGAGCATTACAAGACCGAGAGAAGGTGCTGGGCCTTGCGCATCCAGACACACTCACCAGCATCAAGAACCTTGGTTTAGTCCTTTCTAACCAGGGCAAATATGAAGAGGCAGAAGCCATGCACCGACAAGCATTACAAGGGTGAAAAGGTGCTGGCGCGCTAGCATCTACACACACTCAGCAGCCTCCAAAACCTCAATCACGTTATTAGACAACAAAAAACATATGAAGAGGAGGATGCGCACTACCAGCAATTCGAGGTCCTATACTTATCTATAAATGACTCGCCCCTTCTCGCACTGGTCTGTTCGCATAAACTAGGTGTATTCAGCTAATTACCCTATCTTGTGTCGCTCTTAACACACATACATATTTTCACGGTCAACTATCATTTCTCATTTTCCACGCAACATCGTACCATACGTATGTACTCAGTTGCAAAAGACAAGTTTTTCGTATTACTTTCTCCTGATAAAATGGAAATTACAAGCCTGACAGACGGCGTCCCGCTAGCGTTCCCGCTTTGGGACCATTATCAAAGAACAGTGTTCGCAGCGGAAGCTGATTTCGTTAGGTTGTGTAGTACTATACTTAAAGAATTTAGTATTGAGACAGGTCTGTGATGCCCTTAGATGTTCTGGGCCGCACGCGCGCTACACTGACAGGGCCAGCGAGTACATCACCTTGGCCGAGAGGCCTGGGTAATCTTGTTAAACCCTGACGTGCTGGGGATAGAGCATTGCAATTATTGCTCTTCAACGAGGAATGCCTAGTAGGCACGAGTCATCAGCTCGTGCCGATTACGTCCCTGCCCTTTGTACACACCGCCCGTCGCTACTACCGATTGAATGGCTCGGTGAGGCCTCCGGACTGGCCCCGGGGGGTTGGCAACGACCCCCCAGGGCCGGGAAGCTGGTCAAACCCGGTCATTTAGAGGAAGTAAAAGTCGTAACAAGGTTTCCGTAG